TTTATCATTTCCCGGGTATTTCTGAATTTATTCCAATCAATCCAAGTAAATGGTGTCTATTTAACACCAATTCCAATTCTTCCGGTTGGTAATCTTGGTTCCTTAGACTCTTTTATAGCTGTTCTTAGGGATGTTATGTAGTCCGGTCTTAGACTAATAGACCACAGTTAGTCTTAAGACTGGTCTGATTTAAAAAAAATTGGTCTGCTCTAAGTCTTAAAACTGGACCGGTCTAAACCGGTCTAGACTAGCAAAATCTTAATACTGAAGGCTAGACTTGGACCAAAATTGACCAGACTGAACCTGTTAACATCTCTACAGGCTGTTCTCATAAATTTTAGAACAAACTAAAAATTTGCTCGCTTCCCGAATCTCTTCTGTTTTATTCTAAGGTCACTTAACTCTTCGGAATCACATCATTGTCTTCAGAACTTCGGTCTGGAGATAGCAATGTATTTTTTGAAGAGTTAGATGATTCATATAATGAAACTAAAGAGATTTCAGAAAATGTGCAAATTTTTAGTTTATCCCAGAATTTATGATACCACTGCCTTCTTTCTTTTCAAAAAACCTCCAAAAAACCATCTAGACTTTTTTTTTAATAGAGCAAAATTTTATGTTCATTATATTAAAAACGAAACGAGACTCTAATATATAATTATATAAGATAAATCTAAAGTATACCTTTTTTCTCTTCTTTCGGCTGTTCTGGTTCTTGAGTTACTTTCTCAGTCAATTCATGATCATTATCATCTGTTTCCTTTTCTTTTTTTTTAGCATTAAAAGCATTATTTCCTAACCCTAAATCTTCATCTGTATTATCCTATTCATTATTACGACCTGTTGAGGTGCCAATTGGTGCTGAAGTTGGTGCAAATGATAAATTACTATTGTCCATGGGCAAGATAAAATTCTCTTCCTCATTATTATTAGTTGTAATTTGGTCCTGTTTTGAGACATCATCATATACCATTTTGTTAAAGTTCGATTTGAGTAGACTTTGCACCATGATGGCATTCTCTTACTTTTTTTTAATGTTTTCTAATTGGCCTAATTTAATAATTTAGTGAATATATAATTAGCAAAAAAACCTTTTATATACAGCAAAACTATAATCACAAATCATAATGAGCTGATAAATAATAAAACCTTGATTTTGTATATATTTCTCTAATTTTTGTATTGCAAATGCATC